ATGTTTCCTATGGGGGATTTTCGCATAACGATGTTTGGGACCTTGCTTCACTTAACGATGACAGTTTTAGGTCCCCTGTTTCGCTTAACGTTTTTTTGACAGCACTGTTTTCGCTATTTTAAAAATATTCTAAAATGTTTAAAAATGTTTAAAATGCTTGGAATTGTTAGTGCACCTAATAAAACCTTCGTTAAAGTAATTTGGCTTCGTTCTGAGTCTTTTTGAATTTTTGGTGATTTTTTTTCACCATTGAAATGTATTGAATAGGCTCCTATTGGAACCGATTAACCGGTTTTCAATGCATTCCTATGGGAAATGGTGTTTCGCTTAACAATGTTTTCACATAACGATGTTTTTAATGGAACCAATTAACATCGTTATGCGAGGCACCACTGTATATCCATTTCTGTTTCAACATACTGTATATATTTAATGAATAGCCTGATAATATATATATATACACACACAAAAAATATCAGGCTATTCATTAAATATTCATTAAATATATATATATCGGGCTATTCATTAAATTGAAGAATTCTGCCTCCTTGAGGCATCTGGGGCACAATGCTTCAATTGAAGCCATTAAAACATTTTGGATGCTCAGGGCTCTCTTGGGACACCTTAGTGGGCCACCCCATGTAATCCTAATTCTAAAACTGGCATTGCTTGTTAGGGATCTATTCAACAAAACAAGCTATGAATCCGATTCCTCGTTTGATATTACAACACAGCCATGCAATTATCATTCACTGTGTAGCTCTGATCTATTATACAGGCCTCGACAGAACAGCCACTGCAACTCAAATTTCAGCAGGGTCATGCTGAGACTGGAAGGCTACACCCACCCTCTGCTAGTATTTACAAACAAAGGTGCTGACGTTTCTAGATGCAAGCTCCAGAAACGGAACAGCTTGGATAATATGAAAAAAAAGTAAGATTCATGTAATAAATTCTGTGAATAAAACTGCTTATTCTTAGCCTAGGAAACTGGAGTTTCTACAACACAGATTCCTGCTTTTATTATCAATCTGAAGGGGACGTGGGAGGAAAAGAGAAGTGAGGAAAGAGATCCAAGAAATATTGGAGAAAACCCCAGCTTTCCCTTTAGAAGTGTTACTTTTTAAATAATGGAGTATGTGTACACGGAAGTATTATACACAAAGCAGTTTCTTCTCGCAAAGTGGAGTGCTGATAAAAGGAAGGTTCACGAGTAGCTCACGAGGGCTACTGCTGACTGACAAGGATAAAAACGCTTCTCTCAGCTAGAACAGCGAGGCACTTAAAACAAAATGCAACTTCCAGTAAAACACGAGACCGTCCTGATTTAGTTTACCCATGAGCTTTCTACAGTACAGTATTAGGTTCAAAAATAAAATCTGCTGGTATTAAAGAGTTCTTCTTCTTTTATGTATAGTATTTTTATTTTTATTTTTGCATTAGATACCCAAATCAGCATTTTGGTTTAAAGCTAGACAATACAAGAAGAATAAACACAAACTCCGGAGTTACATGGATCTTTCGGCAGGGTTCCTTTGCTACCTATATTGTGATGGAAAGGGCCAGGCCATGATAACAGAAAGAACAGGTGGTAAGCTACACCTGGCGACATTTCCTGTTCCACAGAACTACTAAAGGTAGAAGAGGCCTGTCTTTCGTTTCATGTCCCCATCAGAGGCGCAGCCTGATGCTGATCAGATCTAAGAGTCAGAGAGCCTTCTGGGCAAACAGTCAGTTTAACTGAAGGCTTAGAACAGTGGTTCCCAACCTTAGGTCCCCAGATGTTCCTTGACTAAAACTCCCAGAAGCTTTCACTACAGCCATGCAGGCCCAGAATTTCTGGAAGTTGCGGACCGATAACATATGGGGATCCAAGGTTGATACCACTGGCTTAGAACATCATGGCACAACCGTTTGCAATCAATAAGGGGGTCCCAGTGGTGGACGAGGAGGACTTAACTGCTGGTGCGGAAGAGTCAAAAGCCAAGGAATGGAAGATGGAACAAGACACAAAACAACCCCCCTCCCCACTGACACTCAAAAAATGGAACAAGCCAAATTTCTAAACATGGACCAAAAGAGGCCCATATCAATGCAAATACCTTTGCATTCAGACTGTGATCAGTTCAATCTCTGACCTTTGTAGATTAAAAGCAAATCTCAGGTAGAAATACCAATAAAGACCTTTCTTTCCCTCTTTTCAATTAAAGAAGAAACACAGGCAGCAAAGCTTCACATTGCTGAGCTAAAACTTCTGTGATTCCCTGTTTTGGCCCACAGATTGGTAATTTCCCCCGCCGTGGCTAATGCAGAGGAAATACACAAGTTCTTGCACAACATGCCTCAATCAGAGCTGGGAGAAGTTTGTTATGAGCTTATAGCTCTCACAAATCCCTCAACCAGCTTGGTCAGTAGCAGGGGGAGCCTGAGAGCTACGCCCCCCCCAAAGTATCTGCTTCTAAGGTTGAGACTTAATACACACCCACACCCTAAATCTTTGAGGGACTCCGTAGAAGGCAGCAAGCAAAATTGACCACTACATCCTGCTCTTCTGCAGTCACACCCAGAAGGGCATAGAGAGAGGTCACTCAGCAGAATCATAGCAGAAGGAAAACTAAAATAGCAAGAAGTAACCTTCCTTCTAATTATGTGTGGCATATGCACACAGGTCCCGAATGTGTCCAAAATATAAAAGCAAACACTACATATTATGGTTTTCCTCAAATGACTATTTGTGGCCTTTCCCTGGTGTCCCCCAAAAAGGAACACACCCACCTCTCACACAAAAGGAAACCAGTTTAGCCATAATAAAAAACATATGGAAAAGCCACATAGGATTCAGCAAAAAAACCAAACCCTCCACAGCAAATGGTGAATACAGTGGAACCTTCAGTTTACATATGGAGAGACAAGCTCTAAAATGTTGTCAGCATCACCTTAGTGAAGGTCAGGAGAGAATTTAATTATCTGTTGGCCAGCCTGCCAAAAAAAGAAACACAGGCTGGTAAATAGGTGCTCACCTGTGGTGAGTAAATAATTACCTCCAGGCAACCAAGGAAGAAGCTTTTGTAAACTAGAAATGAGTTTTCTGCCTTCCTCCAGGCTGTCAACATGGCACTAGATGTGACAAGGACAGGCAAGTGAATAAACTGTGGGCTTATTTGTGAAGCGGGAAAACATATTTGTATTCTACACTCATAACATTCTCCAGTGTATTTCAATAAATCCTCCACTAAATAAATGTTTAAAAAAAACCTTTTTTGTTGTTTTGTTTTAAACCACGATGTCCTTCAGATGGTAAATGAAGCAGCATGCCTGTTATTTACACCAATCAAGCTCCAATGACAGGTTTCTGGCTTTTAGAATTTTTCTAAGCCACCATGTATTATTTTTGTTTTTGGTTAATGTAGCACACATTCACACTTTCGGGGGGGGGTGGTGGGGGGATATTCCGCAGATGTCTAACAGATCTGCCTGTTGGCAGTAGTGCCAAGATTTCCAAAGACGGGAAGAGAGACAAGCTCTCACAAATGTCACAAACCACATACACACACGGCACCTTCTGTTGAATTAAAAACTGACACATCTGCTTACCACGCGTGTTGGTCGCCATGTCAGCCACTTTCTGAAAGGCGTCCAGGAAAGCAGCTGCTGCTACTACCGTTGTCCTAAAATACAAGCAGATAACGTAATGTTAAAACCAGCTTGTTGCAGCCTATTGGAAACAGGACACAAAAGTAGAATGAGGAGGGGAAATGTATTAAGGTTGTAAAAGTACTACAATTGTGCCATCATACCCCACCCTCTAGCCATGCTGACTGGAGGTAATGGCAGTTATAGTCCAACAATATCCCGGGAGCTAACATTAAGAAAGGCTCCTCTAACAAATAATAAAAACCACATGCCAGCAAGTCAATTCTGACTTATGACCACCCTTGTCAAGGTTTTTCAGGTACAGAATACTCAGACGTGGTTTACCAGTCCTTTCTTCTGGGACTGTACAGGTTGCCCAAGGCCACACAGGCTGGATCTACTCCCAGGAGGCACAGTGAAGAATTGAACTCCCACCCTGTGGCTCCACAGTCAGATATCCAAACCACTGAGGTATCTAGCCAGCTATCTTCTAAAGCAGTGGTTCTTAACCTTTGTTACTCGGATGCTTTTGAACTGCAACTCCCAGAAACCCCAGTCAGGACAGCTGGTGGTGAAGGCTTCTGGGAGTTGCAGTCCAAAACTCCTGAGTAACCCAAGGTTAAGAACCAGTGTTCTAAGGCAGTGGTCCCCAACCTTGGGTCTCCAGATGTTCTTGGACTACAACTCCCAGAAGCCTTCACCACCACCTCTGCTGCCAGGATTTCTAAGAGTTGAAGTTCAAGAACATCTGGAGGGTCAAGGTTGGGACCACTACTCTAAAGAACAAAAACAGCTAAATTTTTTGAAAAAAACCTCTTTTGTTTATCTGTAACAAGCAACATCAAGCACTATTAGACCAACTTCATACATTACATTTTTAAAAATTCTTTAAGATACTACCGGAACAATGCCTGACATTTTGAAGCAGATATGTAAATACTATGTGACTCATGCAGGTAATTTAGTCCAAAAGCCAGAACTGACAATGGCTTCCAGCCAATTATACATTTGGTGTCAAACCCAAACTCACTACTGTCTAATATCCGAAGAAGCCCTTGAGAGTACAGGAGAAAAAAAGAAACAGAACATTAAAACTAAGTGACAAATGAAATAAATTATTGAGTTTGAAAGGCATGCTTTAGAACTAAATTATGTTTTACAATGTTCAAATGTCTATTTTACAAACACACACACACAAAGAGGCTGAAATCCTGTTGTGCAGGTATGCAAATCTCTGTGAGTTAAGAAATCTTCACAGATGTCATCTGTTGCACACAAAGTTGCATAACACAACAAGCAAGAGATCATAGTTACTTAAAGCATCATTTGTCCACGTCATCCAGAAAACAAACATGCAAAACAGCTACATGTTAAGAAACCATGGAGGCTGGCAACAGTTCTGTTAGCCCAAAAAATATGACTTACCCAAGGAAGCCATAGCAAAAAGAATTGAAATATACCTCAAAGGATCAACCTGAACTTTCTCTCTCAAAACAGCTACATGTTAAGAAACCATGGAGACTGGCAACGGTTCTGTTAGCCCAAAAAATGACTTACCCAAGGAAGCCATAGCAAATAGAATTGAAATATACCTCAAAGTATCAACCTGAACTTTCTCTCTGGCATAACAACTACAGGTTTTATGTATGTTGTTATGTTTTATTATGCTAGCATTTGTTTTTACATTAATACTGATGTTTGGTTTATTCTGTAGGTTTGAAGTTGGCCCAACAAAGGTACAGGGAGCAGATTAGCTGCACAAACAATATATTGTGGGTGTACTTCCCATTGGGTTATGCTCAAAATCGTACAAGGTAGGCTTCAGCAGTATGTAGACAGGGAACTTCCATAAGTACAAGCCGGATTTTGAAGGGGCAGAGGAACTAGAGGCCAAATTGATAACATGCGCTGGATTATGGAGAAAGCCAGAGAGTTCCAGAAAAACATCTAATTTTTTGCTTCACTGACTACGCAGAAGCCTTTGACTGTGTGGACCACAGCAAACTATGGCAAGTTCTTAAAGAAATGGGAGTGCCTGACCACCTTATCTGTCTCCTGAGAAATCTATATGTGGGACAGGAAGCAACAGTTAGAACTGG